GGGGAGCCTCTCATGCCCTGTCCTTTTTCCAGTCCTTTTTCCAGGAATCTACACTCATGCCCCTGTGCCTGGAATCGTGATGCGCTCGTGTTGCGTGTTGCCCCCAAGGCCCTTCCCCCAGGACCACCCCACCCCCATGCCCGGATTGGGTGCCCCCGGCCCTGGCCGCCTTTTTTCTTTTGGGGGCGGCGGCCTCTTCCCCGGCAGTTTCCATGCCCCGCTGGAAGAACGCCTCCTTGGGGGTACCCCCCCCTCCCCCCCCCCCCCCCCCCTGCCTGCCCGCCTCCATGCCACCCACCCCTCTCCTCCACCCTTCCCTCCTCCTCCCTTCCCTCCTCCTCCCTTCCCTCCTCCACCCTTCCCTCCTCCACCCTTCCCTCCTCCACCCGCCCACGCTCCGACCACCCACCCTCCTCCTCGCTACTGCAGCGCCACACGCAAGTGCGGGTAGCGCAGCGGCAGCAGCTGGTCCCGCCGCAACTGCAGCCTATTCACTCTCAATTAGCCACTCATCCACTACAAGTAATGGAACGGCGGATCCCGCCGCAGCTGCACAACCCGAGCGTCGCGTCCGAGCCGTCGCCCCACCCATACGCCGCGCCTAGTCCAACAAGGACCAGCTGAGGAAGGAGTGGGTCGAGCGATCGCCGTCGCCCCACCACACGCGCCCGGCGCCTATACTGCAGCCTCTCCTCTCTCGCCCACCGCTCCGTCCACGAGTCGGCGTCGCCCCAGCCGCGCGCGGCGCGCCTACTCGGCAGAGAGCTGGCCAATGAGCGGAATGGAGGCCTCAGGGGCCGTCGCCCCGGCCGTGGCACGCGGCCGCCGTCGTCCGCAGTGGCGAGCGAGTGCCCGACCCCCGCCGCAACCGACCGCACCCGCACCCCGCGCAGCGCGTGCACGCGGCGGGGCTCCACCTGAGGATCGTGATTCATTCTTGTGGTTGGCTAGTTAATCAAGCGCGTGCACGCGGCGGGGCTCCGACCTGCGGCAGCTTGTCGCCGTGGCCCAGCTTGCCGTGCGAGCCCGACCCCCACGAGTACACCTGCGGAGATATGGGGAGATATGGGGAGATATGGGGAGATATGAGCCCGACCCCCACGAGTACACCTGCGGAGATATGGGGAGATATGGGGAGATATGGGGAGATATGGGGAGATATGAGCCCGACCCCCACGAGTACACCTGCGGAGATATGGGGAGATATGGGGAGATATGGGGAGATATGAGCCCGACCCCCACGAGTACACCTGCGGAGATATGGGGAGATATGGGGAGATATGGGGAGATATGGGGAGATATGAGCCCGACCCCCACGAGTACACCTGCGGAGATATGGGGAGATATGGGGAGATATGGGGAGATATGAGCCCGACCCCCACGAGTACACCTGCGGAGATATGGGGAGATATGGGGAGATATGGGGAGATATGAGCCCGACCCCCACGAGTACACCTGCGGAGATATGGGGAGATATGGGGAGATATGGGGAGATATGGGGAGATATGAGCCCGACCCCCACGAGTACACCTGCGGAGATATGGGGAGATATGGGGAGATATGGGGAGATATGAGCCCGACCCCCACGAGTACACCTGCGGAGATATGGGGAGATATGGGGAGATATGGGGAGATATGGGGAGATATGAGCCCGACCCCCACGAGTACACCTGCGGTATAGAGGGGAGATATGGGGAGATATGGGGAGATATGGGGAGATATGAGCCCGACCCCCACGAGTAGACCTGCGGAGATATGGGGAGATATGGAGAGATATGGGGAGATATGGGGAGATATGAGCCCGACCCCCACGAGTACACCTGCGGAGATATGGGGAGATATGGAGAGATATGGGGAGATATGGGGAGATATGAGCCCGACCCCCACGAGTACACCTGCGGAGATATGGGGAGATATGGGGAGATATGGGGAGATATGAGCCCGACCCCCACGAGTACACCTGCGGAGATATGGGGAGATATGGGGAGATATGGGGAGATATGAGCCCGACCCCCACGAGTACACCTGCGGAGATATGGGGAGATATGGGGAGATATGGGGAGATATGGGGAGATATGAGCCCGACCCCCACGAGTAGACCTGCGGAGATATGGGGAGATATGGGGAGATATGGGGAGATATGGGGAGATATGGGGAGATATGAGCCCGACCCCCACGAGTACACCTCTCCGCCGTCGGCCAGGGCGAGGGAGTGGTAGTAGCACGCCGAGATGCCGACGGCGCGCACGCCCCGCAGAGCAGCGACGAGCTGCGGCTCGAGCTGGTCGCCTATTATTTATACGATGTTGTTCGATTCTATTATTGCGTTATTAGAGACGAGCTGCGGCTCGAGCTGGTCGCCGCTGACGCAGTTGCCGACGGTGCCCGCCGCGCCCCACGAGTGCACGGCGCCTGTAATCAGTCAGCCAATCAATCAATCAACACTGATTGGTGAGTTAATTGCCCGCCGCGCCCCACGAGTGCACGGCGCCTGTCTCATCGAGACCGAGCGAGTGGTAGTCGCCGGCCGCGACCGCAGCCATCCGCAGCCAGCGCAGCGCACGCACGGGCGTCGGTACGAGCCGCGTCGCCTGTGCACAGAGTGATGGTACCAGAGACCTAGCCGAGATCTAGCCGAGATCTAGCCGAGATAGACGCCATGCACTAGTCAGCGAGGGAAGATGCACAGAGTGATGGTACTAGAGTGATTACTCCTGCTGTACTACTGCTGCACTAGTGAGCGAGGGAAGATGCACAGAGTGATGGTACTACTCACGTGGCCGGCTAGATCTCGGCTCGATCTCGGCTCGATCTCGCCTCATCGCCGTGGCCGAGCCGGCCGCTGGCGCCGTTGCCCCACGAGTAGACTTGGCCGGCCTAGAAGGTTCGTAGAAGGTTCGTAGAAGGCTCGTGGAAGCTGCCCCACACGAGTAGACTTGGCCGACCGAGGTGAGGGCGAGGGAATGGTGGTCCGAGAGGGCGACCTGTTCACAGCAGCCGCCCGCCGTGAAGAGGGCGGGAGGGGGAGGGGCGGAGGGCCAGGGCGGTCCGAGACAGCGACCGAAGCGACGGGGGAGCCAGTCAGGCTCTCGATCCGCCGCGGCGACTGAATCGAGAATGCATGGACCAGTAAGAACAATCGACAACAACCGCTTCACACCGTGCGGCTCTCGGTGCGGCGCGGCGCCTCCTCCGCCGCCTCGCTGCCGTGGCCGAGTGCGCCGAAGAGCCCGCCGCCCCACGAGTACACGGCCCCCGTCTGGGCAACCGCCAGCGAGTGCAGGTTCCCCGCCGCCATGGCAACCACAACCTGCGCTCAATAGCAATAATAATGAGACTCATCCCACCAACAAGAATAATGCCGCCGACATGGCAGCCACGACCTCGTGCGCCAGCGCCTCGACGCGGCGCGGCTCAACCACGTCCGCGCCGCCGCCGTGGCCGTGCCGCCCGCCCGCCGCGCTGCCCCACGAAAAGAGAGCGCCGCCCTCCACCAGGCAGAGCGAGTGGCAAGCGCCGGCGGCCACGGCGCTCACCCGCACGCCCGCCAGCCCGCGCACCGGCACGGGCACCTACACGCCACCCATCGTCGACTTATCAGTGGCTGGTGCCACGCGAACTGCTGGTCCTCGCGCTGCGGCTCTCGGGCACCGCGGCGATGGGGACGGATCCGACCAAGCCACCGTGGCCGAGGAGGCCGCGCACGCGGGAGCCGTCGGGAGAGAGTTCGGTGCCGCAGGAGAAGAGCTGCCCCTCCTCGCCCACGAAGAGCGAATGCGACGACCCCGCCGCCGCCACGCGCCGCGCCGCCACAGCCAGCCTCTCGAGCCGCAGCAGCCGCTGCACCCAGGCGCCGTCCACCTCGGGGAGGCTGGTGGGGGCGACGACGCCGCTCTTGTGGGAGCGGACGCGGATGGCGGCCTCGACGGGCGACATTGCCCGCCGCCCGTACGCCGCGCCGCCGCGCAGGTACCGGCACGTCCCCGCGATCCGCCCGAGGTCGGCCGTCGCGAGCCGCTTGAGGACGTGCACGACCAGCTCGGCGGGAAGGTCGAGGAGGCGCGGAGGCGGAGGCGGCTCGGAGTCGGAGAGCCAGAGCGGATCGACCGGCTCGCTCGAGCGCGGCCGCTTTGGCCGCTTGAGGCCGAGTGCCGGCCCGGAGAAGAGCCGGCGGAGCTCATCGACGAACGAGCGCGCGAGATCGGTGTCCTCTGCGGTGAAGCTGTCGAGCTCCTGCTGGCACCGGGCGACGGCGACGCGAAGCTGCTGAAGCGATTCGGGAGGGACCTCCATGGGGGTGGATGCGGCCGGTGAGAGCCAAGGTGCACAGGCGGTGGCCGCGCTGATGGCTGACCGATTTTCCGCTAATCAGGACTAAACTTCGTGTACCTCGGAATAAAAAAGAAATATTTTCTCCACCTGACACAGTGTGTGAGTGTGTTCCCCTCCTCTTTGCCGGCGAGACCCCTTCCGTGCTCAAGTTGGGGGACGTGGCGCCACTTCCGAAGGACCTCGAGCGGGCTCGCCCGGTAACGTGCCTGGACGCTATATACAAGGTGGTTGACGCGGCTAATCGACTAATCTCAACGTTCCGATGTACCAGATCAACATTCCAACCCGCACTTCCGATCCAGCCCGCACTTCCCACCCAACTAAACCGATTCGTTTTCGCTTTTTCGGTGACCAGATTGCGGTATTGCTGCACCGGCGTCCTATTACCTATGCACGCACGCAGAGGGGCTGAGAGCCTTCTTTCTGACTGTGATGCCTTACCGCAGCGCCGCCGCAAACACTGCGGGCGGCGCGTGTGGGCGAGCGCATGGCACTTTGTGGCTGCAAGAGGTCCTCACGGCAAGAGGTCCTCACAGACAGAGAGTGCGCCCTCGGACACGGCGAGAGGCCCGTGCGAGAGGACTGATGCAGCCATCGTTTGTATTCAAGAAAAGCGGCGTAGCTCCAAGTGCTCCAAGTGCTCCAAGCTGGAGCTGTCGCAGATGCACTTCTCTCAACCTACATTTTGCTCTTCAGTGACCAGAGTGTTCTACAGATGCAAAACACTTTCGTTGCGGTTTCACTGAGCTGCACGCACGGCGCCACGCACGCGGAGGGGCCGAGAGCCTTCTTTCTGACTGTGGTTTTGATGCCTTATCGCAGCGCCGCCGCAAGCGATCTATGTGGCGCGTGTGGGCGAGCGCGTGGCACCTCGTGGCTGCAAGAGGTCCAAGCAATGGCCGCAAGCAATGTGGCTGCCCGACCGACGCTAATCGACTAATCTCAGTGTACCGTCTTATTGAAAAAGAATTTTGGAACCGACACGCCAGCCAAGTCACTTCCCGGGGATGGTGGCGGCTTCGAAGACGAGCGAGCTCTTTCGTCGGTTCATGTGCGACACTTCGGCCGCGCTGTTCAAGATGGTTGCTGGGGAGGCAGAGCTGAGTGAAGCTTCATCTTCGTGGCCGCGGTACGCCCGAAGACAACTTAAAGAATTTTGACAACTTAAAGAAGCTGCGCCGCCGTTTCTGGCGTCGGCACGCGAAGTATTGCACTTCCCACCCAACTAATTCCCTATTCAGTGACCAGACTCAAAAACACTTGGTTGCGGTATTGCTACATCGGCGTCCTATGTATGTGAGGTGTCTATGGGCGCCCTCCTCAGAGGCTAGCTGCCTACTGCTAGCCCTATCTCGCACTCACAGGTGATGACAATCCAATGTATGAGTGTATGCAAGCAGAGGCGCGTGTGCTAATTCTAGGCCGCACGTCGTGGCACTATGACGGAGGTAGACGTGCGACCGCAGCGCGCCCACCACAGTCTCGGTGGTGCGCGCGTGTTAGCGATAGAAGGTGCGCGCGAAGTTTTCTTCTTTCTGGTCAAAGGGCGCGGCAAGTGGTCTCCGTCGGAAGCGACGGCAGCGGCGGTGGCGGGGGAGGAGGAGGAGGCCGAGGAGGAGGGGGAGGAGGGGGAGGAGGAGGATGCCCCCAAGGGAAAGCTCACGGAGCAGCCTGGCGATTACCCCTTTGCGCGGCAGCAGGATTGCGATCTACGTTTGTTTGATTTTGAGGCTTTCGGAGGCTTTGGAAAGGAGGTTCGCAGCACCCTGAGGGAGGCGGCGAACCAGCTGAGCAATAAACTTTCGCACGCTCAGCACCTGGACGAGGTCACATGGACCACCAAGAACTGGCACGGGCTGCAGATGCAGCGCTTGTCTGTCGTCCTCCACACCGCCGTGGCGTGGCAGACGGTGAACGAGCTAGCGTGCGGGGAGAGCGGCATTGTGCATGGTGCGGAGTGCATTGCCGTTCTTAACGGAGTCGCTTAGGCGGCTCCGGTGGTGAGCCTGTGTGTGTGCCAGTCCGCGCCAGTCTGCGCCCTTGTCGTGCCAGTGTGCTGTGAGAGAGGCTTGTGTCTTAAGAATTCTTCTTTCTGTAACGATCGGAGACGCCAGTCCAGCAATTCGATCTGAGGGCGCCAGTCCAGCACAACACCCGAAGTCCGCCTCAGCATGAACCTCTCCAACGTCTTCTCGGACGGGATGGTGCTGCAGCGCGCGCCAGCGATACCCATCGTGTGGGGCTTTGCGTCGCCCGGGATCCGCGTGGAGACGACCTTCGGCGCCCACAGCCTCTCCGCGCTGACGGACCACAGCGGCGTCTGGCGGCAGCCACTTCCGCCGACCGAGGCGTCCGACCGCGGGCAGACGCTTCTCTTCCGCAGCTCCGAGGGCGGCGCCGCGCTGCGCGACGTCCTCTTCGGCGAGGTCTACCTCTGCAGCGGCCAGTCCAACATGGAGTACACGCCTCGCTCGATGGCGGGCATGAACAACGCGAGCGCCGAGATCGCCGCCGCCGACTCGCCGGCGTACAGGAACGTGCGCCTCTTCACGGTCGGCAAAGGCACGACTAGCAAGACACCGCTCCGCGCGCTCGGTTCTCTTAACCACGGGCCGAAAGCATATCGTTCAAGATAATGATTCGGCATGCGATTAATACTTAATAGGCTCCCTCTACCACAACTGGACGGCCGCCTCCTCCGCGCTGGTCGGCGGCCCCGCCTGGAAGGAGCTTCCCGGCCGTCCGTTGGCTGATCACTACTTCTCAAGTGCTAATTAATTAAGTTTCGATGATTCAGGAGTTCTCTGCCGTCTGCTGGCTGTTTGGCAAGGAGCTGAGCAACGAGCTCAAGGTGCGAGATCGGCACATCTCAAGAGAAGGGCGGTGGGCGATCTCGGACGATCTCGGGTCTCGGGCGATCTCGGGCGATCTCGGACGCTCTCGGACGATTTTCGGTTGGCTTCGGAAGACTTCGTCTGCTACAGCAGTCCTCTCCCAGCAGGCGCCGGTCGGGCTCATCTCCCCATGTCTCAAGCTATCTCCCCATATCTCCCCGCAGGTACCGGTCGGGCTCATCTCGTCCAGCTGGGGAGGGACGCAGATCCAGGTCTGGATGCCAAAGGCGGCAAACGAGGCGTGCCACCAAGGCAGCTGGAGCGGTACAACGCGATGACGACTCAAGCAGTTGCTTATTGCCGCCCAGCCTTACTCATAGGCAGCTGGAGCGGCGACCGTTACAACGCGATGATCGCGCCGTTTGCGGTTGGCCGCATGGCCCTTCGCCTCGGGATCACAAATCAACATGTGTCTACCTGGCTCGGGCTCTGTCTAGGTTGGCCCCATGGCCCTCTCCGGCGCGGTCTGGTACCAAGGCGAGTCTAACAACGGGTGCGGACGCTGCTGCCCGTGCGCCAGTATCGGGGCTGGTCCTTGACAGACTACTTGCGGAGTGATTCATTCGTAGGCAAGGCCGCTACTACTCGTGCGCCTTCCCGGCGATGATCAGCGCCTGGCGCGCCGCCTTCCACCCGCCGGCTGCGGTCAACCGTTCATCATGCCACTTAGATCACTTCATCAGGCGCGCCGCCTTCCACTCGCCCGCCCTCTGGTTCGGGTTCGTGCAGATCGCGGGATACCGCTACGGAGGCGCGCCGCACGCAGCCCGGCCTGCCGACTAACAGTTCATTACTTTTTAATTATGGCCCACATTAGTTGCTGATGGCAAGCGCGTCTCGCCCGGACCCGTCTGCGGACTTGCGCCAAGCGCAGCTGGCCGCTCTCTCGCTGCCGAACGTCGGCGTCTCGACTGCGATCGACACGGGCGGCCGGACCAGCACCCACCCGCCTTCAAAGCTTGCAAATTCACAGTGTGGTCAATTCTCCAACTGATAGGCGACTGGAACGGCACCCCCTCGCCTTTCAAGATTCTTTGCAATTCACAGTGAACTCTAACTAATAGGCGACTGGAACGGCACCCCCTCGCCCGCCCGCCCGCTTGACTGAGGTAGCGCTGCGAACGACGTCTCTTCACGGTTGCGCGGTGTGAACAGGCATCCACCCGCCAGACAAGCAGACGCCCGCGCGCCGGCTCGCGGCCGCCGCCCTCGACATGCGCTATGGCCGCCGCCAGTTTGAGGCGCAGCACCGGCCTCCGCTCCCTGCCGGCCTAGCGTCGCAGCACCGCGAGCGGCGTCTCTTCACACTCGCAGCTGTGAACAGGCCGCCCCTCTACTCCGGGCAGCGCCTGCTCCGGCGGCCTCTGCTGCCGACTCTACTGCCGGCGGCGGCGGCGCCGGAGGAGGGGTCGCTTGTGGGCGGAGACTTCATTAGTTGTGAACCTATTTAATCACCGATGATAGGCGCTTGCGGGGGGCTCGTCTAGGGGCGAGTCCGGGGGCGGAGACGACGCATGCAGCGGCAAGCGCTGCGACGTCGAGGCGCGTGCCGGCCTTGTGGCGAGTGGTTCGTCGCGATGGAGAGGTGATGGAGAGGTGCCGGAGAGGCGATGGAGAGGTGGTGGAGAGGTGATGGAGAGGCGATGGAGAGGTGATGGAGAGGCGATGGAGAGGTGGTGGAGAGGTGATGGAGAGGCGATGGAGAGGTGATGGAGAGGTGACGGAGAGGCAGCCCACAAGAGTAGGCGTGCCCGTGCGGCTGCGAGTGCGGCACACCCACAGACCCGGGTGTGTGCTACGGCCCCGAGAGATAGCCGAGATGTAGCCGCGAGTTCGCCGAGAGACACAGATATACCCGGGCGCGCCCCGTCCCCTCTCCCGCCGACACTCAGCCTTCGTTCGACCGTTGTTGAGCCGCACACACGCGTCGCCCATCAGCCCCTCTGTAACCCGAGATATAGCCGAGATACAGAGATATGTAGCCGAGATACGGCGGACCCCCACAAAGGCGTGTGCTACGTCCCCGCCGCGCCGCCGCCCACCGGCTGGTGCGGCGGCACGGCGGAGGGCGAGGCGGGCGGCGGCGCTGCTGTGGGCGGCGGCGGAGCGGCGGGGCGAGGCGGCGTTGCGACGGTGGCCGTCCGTCTCTCGTTGCCGGCAACGACCGAGGTGCCGCCTTGGGCCACCGCGTCCTCCACCCTCGGCCATCCAGGCAGCGTGCCGCGCAACGCGCCTCTGTCCCCGCTCCTTCTTGACCGAGATAGCGCTTCTTCTTCTTCTTCTTCTTCTAGGCAGCGTGCCGCGCAACGCGCCTCTGTCCCCGCTTTTCCTTGACGGACTGAGTTTTCTTCTTCTTCTTCTTCCTTCTTCTAGGCAGCGTGCCGCGCAACGCGTGCCCCGTCGCGAGCATGCCTCCTTTCCACAACCCGCAAGATTGCGGCTGGCCGCGGCTCTACGCAGAGGCGCGAGGGCGCCAATGACCTCGTTCCGATCTCGGCCAATCTCGAGTGATCTCGTGCAGGCGCCCGACGGGTCCGCGGTTGTCTTCAACGCCACCGCCGATTTGGCAGGCCTGACAGTCCCCCCACCCACCCACCCACCCACCCACCCACACCACACCACACACACACCTCACCCACGCGCACCGGGCCCTGCACTTTTAATGCCGCGGGGCTCCTGTCGTCTAGACGTGGAGACGCGAGATAGCTCGGCGAGTGGAGAAGAGTACCTTACCTTACCTTACCTTACCTTACCCGACAGACGGCGGGCAGACGATCCTCCTCCGCGCGTCCGTCCCGCCCGGCCTCGAGGTCGTCGCCTCGTCCTACGGCCGCGGCTCGTGGCCGAGGACGGTCTTCTTCTCCGCCGGCGGCGTGCCGGTGCTGCCGTGGTATGCCACGCTCAACGAGACCCGCCCTTGGGTGCTGCCCGCCTCGGTCGCCGACGACCCCGCGGCGCACGTCGAGCTGCCCGACGGGGCGGAGGGGGAGCGGGTGCAGTGAGGGGAGGGTCGGGGCAGGCGCCCCAGGCCCTCGCGACTGGCTAGGGTCGCCTCGCTGTCCAACGCGGGCCGGATCCTGTTTTTCTTTTTCTCGCGATGTCCACCCCACAGCGCCGCTCGCGCCGCCTCGCCCTCGCCGCCGCCGCCGCCGCGCACTGCCCCCTCCTCGACCTCCCCACGGACCTCCTCGTGCGCGTCCTCTCTCGCTGCGACCCCGCCGACATCGCTCGCGTCGCGGCCGTCTCGCTGCTCTTCCACGCTTCGCTTGCGCTGGAGGGCATCCGCTTGTGGGCGCAAGAGCGCGGCTTCGAGCTGCCGGCGCAGCCAGAGGACGAGAGCTGCGCCTTGCGGTGGCTGTGCTTTTCGGCGCTGCTGTGCAAGCACAACCCGCCGGCAGGCCCATGGCACAGCCTCTTCATCGGCGGCGACGGGCGGCTCTCGTCATACGGCTCAACTGCGAATTGGCACAGCCTCGCCATCACCGCTGACGGAGCCGTGTGGAGCTGGGGCTATGGGGGCCGCGGCAGGCTGGGCCACGGCGACGAGGAGGACCAGCTGCTGCCGAAGCAGGTCCAGGCCTTTGCTGGTCAGCGCGTCGTCGCTGTCTCGGCGGGAGCGGCTCACAGCCTTGCCCTCACCTCCGACGGCGCCGTCTGGAGCTGGGGCGTGGGAGCTTTTGGCCGGCTGGGCCACGGCGACGAGCAGAACCAGCTGCTGCCCAAGAAGGTCGAGGCCTTTGCTGGCCAACGCATCGTCGCTGTCTCGGCTGGAGGCGGGCACAGCCTCGCCCTCACCGCCGGTGGCGCCCTCTGGAGCTGGGGCAGTGGATTGTTTGGAAATTTGGGCCACGGCGACGCGCAGGACCAGCTGCTGCCGAAGGACCAGCTGCTGCCGAAGAAGATCGAGGCCTTGGCTGGCCAGCGCGTCGTCGCTCTCTCGGCCGGAGGCGGGCACAGCCTCGCTCTCACCGCCGGTGGCGCTGTCTGGAGCTGGGGCTTTGGAGTTTTTGGCAAGCTGGGCCACGGGGACGAGCAGACCCAGCTGCTGCCGAAGAAGGTCGAGGCCTTGGCTGGCCAGTGCGTCGTCGCCGTCGCGGCTGGAGGGGCGCATAGCTGCGCCATCACCGCCGACGGCGCCCTTTGGAGCTGGGGCAACGGCAGCTCTGGCCAGCTGGGCCACGGCGACGAGCAGAACCAGCTGCTGCCCAAGAAGGTCGAGGCCTTCGCGGGTCGGCGCGTCGTCGGGGTGTCGGCAGGAGACAACCACAGCATCGCGCTCACCGCTGACGGCGCAGTCTGGAGCTGGGGCGAAGGAGAAGACGGCCGGCTGGGCCACGGCGACGAGCAGAACCAGCTGCTGCCGAAGAAGGTCGAGGCCTTCACTGGCCAGCGCGTCGTCGCTATGTCAGCGGGAGACGACCATAGTATCGTCCTCACCGCTGACGGCGCTGTCCTTACCTGGGGCCAGGGCGCCCACGGCTGCCTCGGCCACGGAGAGGACCTGTCGAACCAGCTGCGGCCCAAGAAGATCGAGGCGTGGGTGCAGGGCCAAGGGCCGTAGAGTGTGTGAAGAGAAGGGGATGGTTCGTTTTTAAGGCTGTGTCATTACTTCCAATATTCTCTCGCGTCTGCGGCGGAGCAGCTGTGCGCACTCGCTTGTGTGCGCCCTTCAGCCTGCGCGCTCCGACCCCACGGTCGCCCAAGGCCCATGGCCATGCCGCTGCCCAGGACTCGACTGCACACCGCTCTGCAGGACGACACCTTACACGACTCTACACCGGCTCGCGGCGGCGGGACCTCACGTAAGCCTGCCCGTGGCGGGCCTGTACGTACACTCGGAGTGGAGAGAGGTAATACACGTATCGACAGAGAGCACCCCGCGGCCTCGCGCCGCGCGGCGCTCAGGAGCAGCTCTGCGTGACGAGGGCAACCGCTTCGGCGGCGCTGCCCACACCTGAGAGGCAGAGGCCGGCAGGTCGGGTGGCGGTGCTGTGATAGTTCGACCGTCGGTTGAAGGCGGAGAGTCGTGGGCGGCGGAGGATGGTGTTGGGGTGGGCGCTGCGGTGGGTAGTATGGTGGGAGGGCGTGTGCTCTCACCGAGCGCTTCGAGCAGGCCGGGAAGGTCGCGGAAGACGGCCTGGATAAGGGCCAGCAAGGAGACGGCGATCGAAGGGGGCGGCGCAGGCGCTGGCGGCGGCGGAGGCGCAGGCGGCGAGGGCGGCGACTTCGGGCAGCACGCGTTGAAGCAGTCTGTGCCGTCATCGGTCGCATAGGTCTGCCAGAACTTCTTGGGCGTGCCGGGGCAGGGGTGGAGGTCGGTCCACGCGCAGCCCGTCTCGCAGACAAATGGCGGCGTGGGCGGAGGCGCGGGAGGTGCGGGTGGCGCGGACGGAGGGGGCTTGGGGCAGCAGTAGTTGAAGCAGGCGGAGCCGTCGTCAGCGGCGAACCTCTGCCACCAGCGCCTCGGCGTGCCGGGGCAGGGATAGGTGCTCGTCCAGCCGCACTCGCAAGTGCCCGCAGCCTCCTCCTCCTCGTCGTCGTCAGTCGGCGTCGACACGCCGGTGCACTCGCCCGCCACGCACACCTTGAGCATCATCGTCTCGATGCAGTCAACGTCCGACGGCGAGCAGAGGGTGCAAGAATCGCCCTCCGCCTTGTCGAGGCAGGGCTCGTACTCCTCGAGGCCGCGGGCGGCGGCGAGCTCGCACGCGGCGATGGCGATAATGCAGGCGGAAAGGCGGAGCATGGTCGGGTGGGCCGTCAGAGGACGCGGCAGCGAGAGGTAAGGTACAGCGCATTTGACCATTTTTGTGGTTCGGGCAGAAAAAGAAATACATAAGGCAGAGCCAGTGCAGGCACACGCCTAACTGCTAACAGGTACCTTCTTTGCCGAACACGAAGGTCCTCACGAGTGAGTGAGGACCTCTGGCGGATTGAGGACTCTTCCGCAGACTCCGGTCTCGGCGGCGATGCTCGCGCTCCGCATCACATGCCGGGCTTGCGTTCCGGATCACTCTACCTCTGCATGGTTATGGCTCGTGGCGGCAGCCAGGAAGAGGACCGATCGTCTGTAGAGGTCCTCCACTCCCCCGGAGGTCCTCAAGAGACGTGAGTGAGGACCTCTGACGGATTGAGGACCTCTCTGACACAGACTCTGACGCGCGTGCTTCGCATCGCGTGCCGATTCCCGGATCATGTCCCTCTCGTGGCTAACGACGCGTGTTATATCATACCTCACAATTCACGCAGTCGAGTGGGGGGGGGGGGGGCGAAATATATGGAAAGCTGTATCGAGAGGTACGTAGCTGAATATTACATGCATGCGTAGTCGTGGAAACGTCGGACATTACAGTATACCTGGACGGACGGAGGGGAGAATTGTACCTGTGTCGAACCTGTGTGCTTGCCAAAGATTTTTTTAAATTATTTTTTCAGCGGGGATTGTTCTCTGTTGCGCGCTCGGCACGTGTTGAGAGTGTAAGTTGAGGATCGCCGGCAAGCCTCGCTTGAATTCTTTTTTCAGCGCGGTTGCCGCAAGACCATGATTACGGAAGACACATTCGACACGAGCAACCCCATCAGCAGACATAAAAAAATCTTTGATTTGATTGTGTATCTTAACATGAGCCCACGCAGGCAGTGCACTCCCCCCCCCTCCGTTGAGACTGGCGGATTGATTAAGCCTGGTTGATTGAGCCTCATGGCGTGCGCAACCAAGACCGTGAGCAGACCGACGCGCCCGATGCCAATGTTCTTCTCTTTCCCTCACACGAGCTCCATGAGCGCCCGTCTCGAGAGGTCCTCCACACTCTCCCCGAAGGTCCTCAAAAGTGGGTGAGTGGCTCTCTGCGGATTGATGAGCCTAGGCTTGAGCCTCAGCAAGACCGTGATGCACCCGACACAACATTCTCTCTTTGCCTCACAGGACACAGCTCCATGAGCGCCCCCAGAGAGGTCCTCCACTTCCCCGAAAAAAGCTCGAGCCCCGAAGGTCATCATGACGTTTGAGAGGACCTCTGACGGATTGAGGACCTCTCTTGGGATGTGTATCGCGCGCACAGACTCCGTCTCGGATATGCGCCATGCGCGCGCTCCGCATATCGCGTGCGGACTTCCCGGATCTCCCTCTCACGGCGTGTTACCTCATACCACTTTGATACGTCATCACAGAGCTCGGAACGAGGATCGAGCGGGGGATATTAAAACGCGACGGAGAGACCTTAAATAGTTAGAGGCTGCGCAGGCCGTCCCGTTTGCTGTTTGAAACGCCTGTTGCGCTGCGCGCGCGCTGCCGGGGCTCTGTCTACTGTCTCACTTACGTGCCGCAATATGTGTCACACACGGCGGCTTCTGCCACCTCTCGATTGGTTCCACTTTCTCCGCACACCTACCGGGGAAGGGGCGCGTGGGAGCGGGGGCGGGGGCGGGGGCGGGGGTGGGGGCGGGGGCGCGCAGCGCGGGGCGCGCGCGCGCAACAGAGGGTAGGGTGGGGAAGACGGCGAGGAGGGGGCGGCGGCGGCGGCGGCGGCGGCGGCGGCGGCGGCGGCGCGCGCGCGGCGCGCGCGACGGGGGGACGGAGCAGCGACCGCTGGCGCGGTCGCTGCTCCGTCTGTGCCAGGGACGCGCGCTCTGCGCCGCTGCAGAGCGCGCGCGTCAGGGCAAGGGGCATGCGTGGCGGCGCGGGAAGCGCGGCGGCGGCGGCGAGCCGCCGAGCGCTCCGTGAGCGGTGAGGCGGCCGGGCGAGGGCGCGGCGGGTGACGGGTCAAGGGAGCAGCCCACACCCGGCGTCGCTTTTTGAGCGACGCCTGTGGCACGCCTGCGCAGGGGCCGCAGGGCGGTCAGTTGTGGGGCGAGGCGGTGCCGGCCGCGGGCCGGGTGCAAGGCGCCGGCCTCGGCGCCGCCTCGGCGCGCAGCACGGGCGCGGCTCGCCTCTGAGCGGGTGCCGAAGGTTTGGTGTGGTGGGAGGGCGGTGGGGGTGATTTTTTTTGCCGCAGAGGCCGTCCCTAGCTGTGAACAGCAAAACGGGACAGTATGGAAACTAGGAGCGGTGTGTGTGCGGTATCTCATGTGCGGGTAAGGCTCACGTATTGTGCGTAAGCTGGCATCGTTGCTTAGAGCTCTATTACCTCATATTGTTGTCCTCTTTGTTGCGTCACAGAGCTTGGAACGAGGATGGATGGAGGGGGGATTAAAACGCGAAGGAGAGGCGTGAATATGGGAAGTTGTATATTCAAGTGTGCGTTGAACAGTGCGATTAGGAACCGCCTAGACTTCAGTAATATGTCCAGATTTTCTCCTTTTTCAGCCGAGCCCCGGTCGCGCGCTCAGCACGAGCGCTCGCTACCGACCCGCCGCTGGCCGGACGCGCACGGATGGCGCCACTTTTACTACTCCTCGCTGCCACCAACGCGCTAAAGAACCGCTCGGCGACGCTAGCAATGGTGACGACGCGCCGCCACTCTCCCGCCAGCACCGTCTACAGCCACCGCCATCCTGCCGTGGCTCAGCAACGCCAGCAGCGCCCACCGCCTCCCATCCTGGGCACGCCGCTCGCAGCGGCCAGCTGATCATAGGCCGCCGCGCTGCAGGTGACTCTCGACGAGACGATGACGTCGCTCGTCGACCCGCTCGTCGCGGCTCGAGCGCGGGACGGCGTTGTCGTACCTCTCTTCTCGAACCTGGGCTTCGTCCCCTTCCTCAAGAACCTGCTCTGCTCGATGGACCGCGTGCGCGTCTCCAACTGGGTGTGGCCTCGCACTGCCACACGCAATCCGTCTCTCGCGCCTCGGCAGCTTTCTTCTCTGTACCTATTCCACAGGTGGCGATCGCCCTCGACAGCTCCGCGTGTTGTACATGCTGTATTATATTACAGTACCTATTCCACAGGTGGTGATCGCCCTCGACAACTCCACCTGCGCGCCAATACGCGGCGGGTTCGGCCTCGCGTACGCCTCTCCCGCGTGCGTCTTCCCGTACGCGCACCGGCCGCTCACGACGCAAGGTGCGGCCAGCTACTGCACGGCCAAGATCATCCGGCTGGTGATTAGCCATACTTAGAATTGACCCACTAGGCGCGGCCAGCTACCGCACGGCCAAGATCATCCGGATGGTGATTAGATGAGTCAGAATTGATTCACAAGGCGTGGCGAGCTACCGCACGGTCGAGTTCAACCGGATGGTGATGCAGCGGCCGATGTGGATGAGACACCTCCTCTCGCGGGGCTACTCGGTGGGGAGATATGGGGAGATGTGGGGAGATATGGGGATGAGACACCTCCTCTCGCGGGGCTACTCGGTGAGATATGGGGAGATATGGGGAGATATGGGGATGAGACACCTCCTCTCGCGGGGCTACTCGGTGAGATATGGGGAGATATGGGGAGATATGGGGAGATATGGGGATGAGACACCTCCTCTCGCGGGGCTACTCGGTGCTGCGGCTCGCGGCACCAGCCTCACTGACACTGCGACCAGCCTTGACCAAGCGCTCGTGGTTTCCGCCACGCAGGCGCTCCCCCAGATGCGAGCTCGCCCTGGCCGTGAAGAGGCGCGGGTCACACACACACCGCAGCCGTGCAACAGGTGCTGCAGTGCGACCTCGACGTCGTCTGGCTGCGCGACCCCTTCCCCCTCTTCGCCGCGCACCCGCACCTCGCCGCCGCCGACGTGCTCGTCCAGTCCGAAGGCGGCCACGGGTACAGCGCCCGGCTGCTACTTCGCCCGCCTGGTTGATAGTTACTTACTAGCGGTCAGCTGCTGATTAAGGTGCGACGCACGGCATCCACCTTGCTGGTGACGGGCGGGACATGTCCACGACACGTCCACGACACGTACCACAGGTACAACGCCGGCTTCTACTTCGCCCGGCCAACAAGGGCGGCGGACGCGTTTATGGAGTTCTGGTGTGACGACGACCAGACCAGCGGGGGGAGGCTGGCTCTTTGAGTGGTGCATGAGCAAGTAGTGATGAGCCGATAGGCGCTGCGGCCCGGCCAGCAAGAGAGGAGGGGTCAACTCACCGACTCGCTGACTCAGAGGAGCTGCTGCTGCGTAGGCTCGAGGACGTGGTTTGCAGGTGGGTTCGATACTGTGGAGGTATGGTACACGTCATCTCTGCTGCGTAGGCTCGAGGACCTGGTCAGCAGGTGGGTTCGATACTGTGGAGGTATGGTACACGTGAGCTCGTGCTGCTGCGTAGGCTCGAGGACCTGGTCAGCAGGTGGGTTCGATACTGTGGAGGTATGGTACACGTGATCTCGTGCTGCTGCGTAGGCTCGAGGACCTGGTCAGCAGGTGGGTTCGATACTGTGGAGGTATGGTACACGTGATCTCGTGCTGCTGCGTAGGCTCGAGGACGTGGTTTGCAGGTGGGTTCGATACTGTGGAGGTATGGTACACGTGATCTCGTGCTGCTGCGTAGGCTCGAGGACCTGGTCAGCAGGTGGGTTCGATACTGTGGAGGTATGGTACACGTGATCTCGTGCTGCTGCGTAGGCTCGAGGACCTGGTCAGCAGGTGGGTTCGATACTGTGGAGGTATGGTACACGTGATCTCGTGCTGCTGCGTAGGCTCGAGGACCTGGTCAGCAGGTGGGTTCGATACTGTGGAGGTATGGTACACGTGATCTCGTGCTGCTGCGTAGGCTCGAGGACCTGGTCAGCAGGTGGGTTCGATACTGTGGAGGTATGGTACACGTGATCTCGTGCTGCTGCGTAGGCTCGAGGACCTGGTCAGCAGGTGGGGGGATCGATCGTTCGAGGAGAGCAGCACCTCGCCGTGGCTCGCACATGAACCCAACTCACTTGCACTCACTTCTCAGCATCGCTGCGTGCATGAATAGGAGCAGCACTCGCTGGCGCGTGCGCTGCACCGCACGCCGCCCGTCAACGGCACCAAGCTTCTCTACTACAAGCTCAACGACTCGTGGGCGCCCAAGCGGCAAGAGGTGCCACGCGCGGCTCGGTTTCTTTTTTCTCGACGCAGGGGTCTGCTCTCTAGGTCCCAAACGGCAAGATGTGGTGCACGGATTGATTCGCCGAGATGAGCCGAGACTACAATGAACTCGCCAGTGGTCGGGAGCTCGGCGCCAGCCGCATGCGCGAGAGAGGAAGCTGCTTCGAGCGCAGTCTCACCAGCTATGTGGAGGATGGCGCCCGCCGTTTGTTGATGTTGGCATGGAGGAGTGCTTCCTTACCAATCAATTAGGTGGAGCATGGCGCCCGCCGCATACTCCAAGGAGGCCGCGTATGCAGTGCACTGCAACTGGAACAAGGGCAACAAGAAGGGGCGGCGGATGCGCGACCTGCTCTGGTTCATTGTTTGGTTATCAAACAATATGAATGTTTAATAATGAATAGGCGGCTGATGCGCGACCTGCTCTGGTGGCTAGACGAGGCGGACCAGCGGTGCGGGAGTCGGGCCCGCTGGCTGCACCCCATCATTCTTCTTATCACTTGTGATGGTGGTGATTATCAGGTGCGTGCCGCAGCTTGTCCGGCTGGCTCCACCACACACCCTTGCTGTGACTGTGATTGTGATTCTATTCTTCAAGGTGCGTCCCGCAGTTCGACCCGCTCGAGAATGGATGCCGGCAGTGGTGCGTGCCGATCATGTACTGCAAGGCGCCGATCGCTAGCGCGCACCGGTCCTTGCGTTTGGGAGCTGTGGCCGCATATGGGAAGATATGAGGAGAGATGGGGAGAGATGGGGAGAGATGGGAGCCGCCACGGGGGTTCCTCGTAGGGTGCGGAGATGCGAGCGAGAGCGCCTCGATGTTGCATATCTCCCCATATCTCCCCATATCTCCCCATATCTCCCCATATCTGCCCATGATGCGAGCGAGAGCGCCTCGGTGTTGCCCGCACCAGCGCGTGCAAGAGATGGTTGATCCACCTCGCCATGCCTGCAAGGCCGACGCGCGGCGCGGCGAGCCGGGCTGCGAGTACATCGCTTGCGACGCGATGCGCTCGAAACGCGAGATGAGCCGAGATTGCCCGAGATTGCCCGAGGTTGTCCGAGATCGCCTGAGCTTGCCTGCGACGCGATGATCCAGACGCGCGCCCGGCGCGTCGCGAGACGGAGGTGAGGCAGCCGCCGTTCACACCCGCGCTTATGAGCAGGCGCGCCGCCGTGGCACGAGATGGCGTTTGGCGGGTGCACGAACGAGGCGGAATCGACGGCGCTCAACGTGAGCAGCGGCAGGCCCCGCCACGCCGCCCACCACGCCCACTGGATCCAGCGGCACCGCCTCGGGCGCCACGGCGGGGCGGCGGAGGTGGCGAGGGGGCGGAGGGCGGCCGAGCGGAACGACGGGCGAAGACTGCTGTAAATCGATCGTGGGGGCGCGTTTTTTTTGCGAACAAACAACTCTGGATCGGATGCGCCGCATTTCGTCTAATGCGGGGTGGGCGACGTAGCTCACAAAAGGGAAACGGCTTATTGTGCGCCGCGCCTTGCAGCCGCCCCCCCCGCCCCCCCCCCCAGCGCCAACGCGTTCCTCAGCAGATCTGCTGCCGCGCGGAATGGCGTCGTCGGAGCTCCTCTCGTGGGAGAGCCTCGTTCGCGCGGGCCGCCTCTCGCGTGCCCTCGACAAGGAGGACCCCGTGAACGCGCCCGCACTGCGCAAGCTACGGATAAGCGGCCTCTTGCCGGCGGCGGAACCGTACACGCTGCGCATCTGGATGCCGTGAGTGAACACTCCCAGATAGTCCCTCTGTCGATCGTCGCGCGCCCCTCCCGCCATCGGGACCAGCGCGATGCCGTGCCTCCGGATTCACCCCGCGCTCGCCTCGTCGCATCTGCGTCGCATCAGCCAGGAGCCTGCCGGCGACATGTCTATAGACATGTCCACGGCGTGTCCGTCCGCAGGTGCTCCTGCGGCGGCTGCGTGGTACCGCTTAAGATAAAGGCCGGCTGTCCCCGCACCACATGCGTCCTCGTCTGGAATGAGGTGACTTTCCAAGAAGCTCCCACCGCTCGAGGAAACTCGCGAATGCCAGCTCGGTTCCCGTGCCACCCCCATCCCTTCGACGTCGGACGTTCCGTCTCCGCTCACAGGATACCAAGAGGTGCAAGCTCGATCTGAGCGGGCTCGCACCCACAGCAGCTGACGCGCCGGCGCCAGCAGCAGCCGCGGCTGTGCCTGGCGGCACGCAGCCCCCACCTACGTGCAACGCCACGGAGGAGGGTGCCGCTCCGTCATTGGCAGCATTCGCCGTGCGCGAGGCTGGCGATGTCGGCGGTGCTAGCGAGATCGACGGAGGCGGCGGAGGTTGCCGCGATGATGGTGGAGGGCGAGTGCCCAGGGCGGCAGCAGCATCGGAGTCAACAGTGGCAGAGCCTCTGGTGGCGGAGGCAGAGGGGCTTAGGCTGCACTTGTCCAACAACAACCGCACCGGCTACAGGGGCGTTCACAAGCACTCCTGTGGCCGTTTCCAGGCGCAACACAGTGTGGGCGGGAGGGAGGTCTACTTGGGCACCTTCGACACGGAGGTGGAGGCGGCGGTGGCCTATGCGCGGGCGGTCGGCGAGCCCACGGCAGTGGTGGCGGAGGCGGAGGGCCTGCGCTTGCACCTCTCCAGCAACAGCACCGGATACAAGGGCGTGTTCAAGCACCACGATGGGCGGCGCTTCCGTTTGCAGCGTTTCGTGGGCGGAAAGGCGATTGGCTGCGGCACTTTCGACACGGCTGTGGAGGCAGCGGTGGCCTACGCACGGGACGTCGGTGAGGCGGCGGGCGGGGCGGCGGCATCGGATTCGAGCGCGACGCTGAACCAAGATGAGGTGGTGACGGCGATCGTTTGCGACGGGTGCGAGGGCGACTTTGAGCTGCCGCCGGGGACGATCGCGCCCGAGGGCCCCACCCTTCGGGACGCGCTCGAGCGGGGCATGCCAGTCGATTTCTTCGGCGACTACCTTTACAACAAGGCACCACCGGCAGCCCCACGACGGCGTCCTCGCCGCCTGGGCAGACGCGATGCGCGCCCCGGCCAACGCGCCGGTCGTGCACGGCGACAAGGAGAAACCAGAGCTCACCCGGCAGTACAACGAGGGGTACAAGGTCGACCTCGCAGAACCCCACGCTGGGCCGGGAGGATGCGATGAAGTGAATGAAATCAAGCTCTGGACGCCCCTCCTCAAGACCTCCTCGCCGGGCGTTGGCAACGCCTCGAGTGGCGGCACGCCCGCCTCCGTTGGCCACTCCTACGCCTTTGGTAACACCGAAGAGAAGGCCCGCCGCCTAAACATGGGCTGCAAGGCGCGCGGGCAGCCCGGCCAACCCTTCTCCCACAAGACCGGCCACGGCTACGTCAAGGCGCATCGCGGTTTCTACCACGACGCGATCTTTGTCAAGCGCAACAACTTCAACCTGCTGCTCCACGAACGAGACGTTCGGCGGCGGCTTCTCGCCCACCGCCGTTCTCAAGCTGCGCCGCCTCGCGCGCAAAGCCGCGCGCGGCAGCGTCGACCGCACGGCCTACTCGCCCAAATACTCGCTTTCTTTTATGTCCCACCATGCAGAGCGCATCTCTCTGCCACTCTCTCTCTGTTGTGCGAGGCGTGAACCGCGCCATTCGCTCTCACCTGGCAACCCCCTGTCTGCACGTCTCGCGCGCGCGTGAACAGGGCTCCAGGCCCCAAATGACGTGTGAGTGTTAGAGTTGTTTGGTATTGCACATGGTCGCACACAAACCCTCCCAACGGCACCAGCCTGTTTGCCACCATCGCCAAGTATAGCGCCACCAGCCGCGGGTCGATAGCTGTCCCTGCGCCCTCGCTTCCATCCAGCGGCGGGTTGTGCCGCCATCCACACGGGTAAAAGCACTGCACAAACGTCGCAAAAGACGCCAGCCACGCGGTGTGCTGGCGGTAATTTGACGCCGCCCTCGCCACGATCGCCTTGCGACCCTGCTCCAACGCCACGTCATCCAGCAGCGCCTTGTGCTCCGCAGTCACCGTGATGCCGTCGGCGCCTTCTCTCTGCACCATCGTGACGGCGGAGTTCGCCATCTTCTCCAACCCCGCCACCACCTCGACGGCAGTGCCAGCCCCGGCGGCCGTCTTTCGCTCCTTTCGTCGAGCCACCATGTACCTGTCCGGACCGTCGAGGCGGGCGGTGAACACTCGTTCGACCATCATAGACGACGGTTTCACCGGCGCTCCCGCCTCTGCGTTGGCGTCGTGCGCGGCCTTGTCCGCTGCCTGTCCCCGCAACTTGAGCTGCCCCCGCACGGCGACCATCGCGTTGGCGGTCTGCGCAGCAAGCTTGGCCGCCTTCGCCGATCTCTCTCGCTCTGCCGCCGCTGCCGCGTCCACGGGGCGGTCCGTCAGCGGGTCGTCGGCAGCCTCAATCATGGCAGCGTCGGCAGCCTCGCTCATACGGGAGCGCAGCGACCTGAAACGGTCCGTCGACAAATTCGAAGCGCCCGCCGAATTCGAAACGTTTGCCGCTCCCGCCGATCTCCCGCTAACGGACCTTACACGCCTGTAACCTCTCTTTAAGGTATTGCTAAAAATCTCTCTCTCTGAGCTGCTAATCCTAACGGTGGTTGCGACCTAATGGTGGTTGCGACCTAGCCTCCAACAACGCCTCCCCGGCGCAGAGGGCTCCCCGGAAAGAAAGAAAGAAAACAGACAACCAAGGGAGGGATGGGAGGATGTGGCGCTGGAGGACGTCCGTTTTCTTCTTTGCCGCGGCTGCCCATTTTAGGGACCTCGACCTCTCCTGGCGATCGGATATGCTGCCGCTCCTGGCGATCGGATTCTTCGCGCCGCAGCGGCCGCTGCCGACCGCGGCTGCCGCGCGGCAGCGGGCAGCGGCCTCTCTCGTGCGCGCCTCCGCCGACATGGCCGTCGACCGGCGCGTTGACTGCATCGTCGTCGGCGCCGGCATCTCGGGCTCGACGCTGGCGCACAACCTGCACCGCGGCGGCGCGGACGTGCTGCTCGCCGAGGCGCGCGACTACGTGGGTGGCAACGTCGTCTCGCACGAGGAGGACGTGCTTCGTCTGGGAGGATGGCCCAAACTCCTTTGCGACGCAGCCGTCGATCGTCCGCATCTCGCACGAGCTCGGCATCGAGAAGGAGCTGGTGTTTGCGGACGAGTCGCTGCCGCCGTGGGTGAACCACGGCGGCAAGCTGCACCCGCTCCCCAAGGGCAAGGGCGGCAAGGGCCCAAAGGGCCAGCTCGAGCTCGTCTTTGGCTCCAACGGCGTCCTCAAGTTTGGGCTCTCTGGCAGCCTGCTGTCGTGGCCCGGTAAGATCCGCGCGGCGATCGGGGCGCTGGTTGGGCACGCGCCGCCGCCCGAGGGGAAGGAGGAGACCATCCGCGAGTGGGTGACGCGCACCCTCGGCGAGGAGGTCTTCCTCCGCTGCATCGACCCCTTTGTGTCGGGCGTGTACGCGGGCGACCCGATGACGCTCTCGATGTCCGCCGCGCTGTCCAAGATCGCGCGCATCGAGCGCTATTCGTACGGGATCGAGTGGAACAAGCTCGGCGCCATCTTCTACGGCGGCCTCGCGCGCCAGGTCGAGCTGACGAAGGAGCGCAAGGCGAGCCCGCCCGACCCCGCCAAGGCGGGGGACCCCGGTCTCTCGGAAGGGAGAGGGTCTTCACTGGCTGCTGCTGCCCTGCTGGGTAGGCGAGCCCTCCCGACCCCTCCTGGGTGCCGTTCGAGTACGGCAACCCCGGGTCGTACCGCAGAGGCCGCTCCACCCTGCCCAAGGAGAGAGGCGCTTCCTCGACCTCTCCCTCTCACGCCTCCCCGCGGCCCTCTCCCTAGGCCTCTCCACGCTGCCGCACGCGATAGCGGCCGAGCTCGGCCAGCCGCACGGCGCGCCGCCCGACCCGGCCTCGCGCGTGCGGCTGGAGTGGCGCCTCGCCTCGCTGCGGCGCGACCTTCGAGGCCGTCCGCGCGAGGACGGTCGTCTCGACACTCCCGGCGCACGCGCTGCGCGGCGTGATCGACGAGGTCCTTCCCGGTGCGGCGCCGCTGACAGAGGCACTGCGCGAGGGCATCGGGCGCAAGGGGATCTACTACCCGCCCGTCGCCGCCGTCACGGTCGGCTCTAGGGGCGGAGTCCGCTTTCTCTTGTCTTCTCGACCATCTCTGCCGTATCCGCTGTATTCGTATCCCCTCGTATTCACGCGGCGCTCCGACTGCACAGCACGAGACCGCCTTCCCGCCCTCATGCTGGCGTACTCACAACGCACGCAGGTCGCCTACCCGAAGAGCGCCTTCCGCGACGTCGAGCTCGACAACGGCTTCGGGCCGCTGCGAGACCTGCCCGGGTTTGGGTCGCTCAACCCGCGCTCTGAGGGCGTGCGCACGCTGGGCACGCTCTGGTCGTCCTCCCTCTTCCCCGGCCGCTGCCCGCCCGAGTACAACTTGCTGCTAAACTACATCGGCGGCTCGCGCGACGCGCCGATCGCGGAGCTCAGCGAGGAGGTGACCATTCCCCACCCCCCCCCTCCCCCCCGCCCCCCGCCCCCACCCCCACCCACCCCGCTCCACCCTCAATACCCCGACCCTCTCCCTCCCCCTCCAGCAGAGGTGCCCTCGGCACGCACATTCCTTCACACCCTCCCGGCACCTGCCCTCCACCCCCACCCCCACCCCCACCCGCACCCTCTCCCCCACCCTCTCCCCCGCCAGGAGCTGGTTGCCGAGGTTGACCGCGGCTGCCGCGAGGTGCTGCTCAAGCCGGACGTGCCGTCCAGCTGTGAACAGCGTCTCTTCACACCTCCTGCTGTGAACAGGTGCTGCTCAAGCCGGACGCGCCGCCGCCAAAGGTGCTCAGCGCAAAGCTGTGGCCGACGGCCATCCCGCAGTACGAGCTCGGCCACGCGCCTCTCATCGAGGCGCTCGAGCGCGCAGAGGCCGACACGCCCGGCTTGTGGGTCTGCGGA